GAGGTGAGGTGGCTGTGTAAACATAAGCCAAGACATTCTGAAATGTTAGCTGTATCTGGGGAACGGTGAGTCAATCAATGGTCGAGAATGGTCTGTGTGGAAGAGTTGAGTGAAGAATGAGGTCAGAAGGCCATTTTGGACTAGATTGTGAAAGAACTTGAAGTTTTTTGGGGTCGTTCTGGCAGTTGAGAGTTATGGGATTTTTGTCATAAGGTCATGAGGGGTTAGAGTAGGGATAACACATTCAACTGCATGTCTTGAGAAAGATTTTAACTTTTGGATTTGAAAAGGATCCGTGTGGATGAAAAGAAAGGTGGTAACAGGTACAAACGCCTTTTAAAAAGAAGCACTAGAGGCTAGTAAATGATTGCATGTGTGACCTGTGGGAGAAGGTATTGCCAAAGATGTCAAAATCCTAAGGTTTCTGGTCTGGATGATTCACGCCTTGAACACAGATAAGGTTTGTCGTTTTCCTTCCTCCTTCGATGTTGTCTGTCTTTATAGTCTCCTCTTTCTTAATGATGATATTGGACATATTAAATTTGAGTTTCTAGTGGAATATTTTAGTCTGAAATTTAGACAAAATCAGGTGTTGAGTTTGGTTATGTACAACTGAGAGTTTATTGCGTAAGTATGGAGTAGTGGGTGGGATAAGAGTGCAAAGCAGCAGAGGATAACGGAGCAGGGGGTAGAAATAGGAAGAAAATTGGAAAACACCTACTCTTCTATGTCAGATGGAGAAGAGTTGAATCTGGGTTAATTCAGATGTAAATATTCTCTCTTACTTGGGAGAAAGGAAATGAGTTCAGCTCTTTCCCATAGAGATTTGGTTTGAGTATGCAGCACTGAATGGTCTCATTTAGTTCTTTCAATCCAGTGGATAGTATATGGTTGGACATTCATAAAACCTAACGAGAAAGCAAGAATCAATATTTTTATTCTGGGATTGACCCCGGTCAGAGATTGTGTATGTCTCTGTGTGTGTGTGTCTACACCTCAGAAATTTGTTTCCCTTTTTAATTAAATAAAGCCCATGTTTGTTGGCTTTTAGGGTGGGCTGCGAGGCCCATCTGTTTAACTAGGCAATTGCCTGATATTGCAGGGGGAAGATTGGCAAGTGTAAGTGTGAATTTGAATACCAGATACAGGCTATTTAAAACTGAATTTCTCTTTAATAAATTCACCCAGAGGTGCTCAGCAATAGGTAGTTTGGAAAACTATCATCATTTCTGTGGAAGAGTATGTTTTTAAATGTTGATTGCCCAGTGATTGTGGGAAGAAATAAACTTAAGGTAGTTCATCTCTGATAACGCCTCTGTTCCTTCAGGTCTTACCATGAAGGAAGGCAGAGTATTTCAATAATTGCTTTTGATATGCTGGAAGGTAAAGGGTCTTCCATTTCACATGGGGTAGGACTAACTTGAAAGCAAATAATACATAAATGTTTTCTTGATAGTATGTGTTAAAGCAGTCGGCATTTAGGACCAAGGGTTGTCAATCTTTGAGGTTTCTAAAAGGAATTGCAATTTATGACGTGTTAGGGTAAACAGTTGGATTACATTTCTGAAATACGTGTTCCATCAGGTAAAATCATTGTGATTACAGGCACTGGAACTGTAAGTAAGTAGTGTGCTAAAAGGTTGAAAATGTAAAACAAGTATGCTTGTGCTTAACTGCTAATCCCTCTTTGTATCTCTGTTGAATAAACTACAAGAAAAGGGGGGAAAAGAATGTTTAAATAATAAAACAGAAAAAGTATATTATATTATGTCATTTTGATAAATAATGTGCATTAATAATACAGCTTGAGGAACTGTTTCATCCGTGCAATAGTCATGAGAGAAGATTCCATAATTCAAAGAATAAGGAAAGAGTATAAAGAAATTATTTTAATTAAAATGTGCTTCTTTTGTTTGCTTTTTTCTTTCTCTTAATATCTTCTTTATTTTCTGGTGTATCCTATAAAAGCACAGTTTGTCTTTTTAACATCCAGTCTCCATTGTTCTGAAATGCGTTGCAAATAAGAGAATGGTTTTAAGAGTTTTGCATATGTTTGACAGCAGAAGGTATTAAATGTAAATAAATCTTTAATATTTCCCCTAATTCAGTTTGTGCCATGCAAATGTCAGGACTAGAAAAACAAATCAACAAACATTTCAAGGAAAACAATATACGTAACTTATTTTATATATTAAAAACAACTGTCAAACAATTATGACCTCATGTATTAGTTGGTTGTTTTGAAATATTCCTACTAGAATTAAAAAATGCTATGAGGGCCTTTGAGCTTAAACATATTGTGTCAATCAAGAGCACATGTAATATATCTAAAGCATGAGGTAAAAATTTTTCTTCATAAATTATTTCATAAATAAATAAGTAATTTGCTTGAAAAAGTTTACAAAAATATTTGTGCTTTTATTAAGTTCTCTACAGATCCTTTGTGGTTAATGTAAATGAATTGATACAGACAGCAGTTTGATCTGCTCTACTCTAACTTGAAATACAAAAAGTAACATGAAGAGAGTCTTCATTTCTCAGGCAAACTTCAGCAAGATTGAATCCGTGAAACTTCATTCATTAAATTTTTAAGTGACCATGAATTTGTTGGCTTCAGTACCTGAAGTGTAACTTTATCCTTTCAATTAAAAGACATAATTCACCCTCAGACCTTTGGCTTTAACTTTTCATATAATATGTAATTTTGGGTACACTTAATGGTCAAATTTTGTATTATTACAGGTGGAAAAACACCAGTCATCTCAAGGGCTTTGTGCTTGCAAAAGCATGTAATTTCATTTTTTTTTGAACCAATTTAATCAATGATTGTTTCATGTGAATAAATTTACAGTCTTGATGATTGCCTTAGATTTGTGGGTGATGGAGAGGAAGATCACTTCCCCTTTTAAAATGTCATTTAAATCTTGGGGAGCAGAGGGAGATTAGGGGCCTAATCCTTGTGATAAATTGTACTATTTAACTTTGCTAAGATGCTATAGCCTCAGATTTTATCAGTTAGATACCAGCTTCAGCAGTTTTAGGTTGTATTAACCCTTTAAATACAGTCCCACTATTCGAATACATATTTCAAAATTGATTTAATATTTTTAGTTAGTCATGGCTAAAGAATGTTTCACTCAGATCCTTATTTTTTTTCCTTTAATAAAAATGCTTCTCACTGTGCCGTGCATATTTCCATAAAAGTCGGCAAGTTAATTTATAGCTTAAAAAAAGAAAATAAAAGGTCTATATTTAATATATGAATACTTTTTACAGTGGAAATTGGTGGTGGACAGTATTAAATGACTCCAGTGTGGAAATATGCAGGTGGTCATTAGTAACTGACTATGAGATTTACTGAAGATTTTGATATTAATTTTCCCGGCATGCAGTACTATATATAAATCTAACTCTGTTCCCAAATTAATTTAAATGGATGATAACATATGAATAACTCTATGCATATGAGGTTCATTGTCTTCTCTCTCCTTTAGGGAATATATAGTTTGCCTCATTGTGAAACTGTATTTTGACTACTTTTTCACCTGACTAGTTTCTCTATTGCAAAAGAATTATTGCTTTTCTACTCATAAAGAGTGTATGGGAAACGGTACCAAAACACTTCTGGAATAAATGTGCTACAAAAAAAAAAATCACATATCTGCTTGTCTAAGTATATTAAATAAAGACCATAGAGAAAAAGGAGTAAGGTTCTAAAAGCACCTACTTCAGTTTTAATTTTTTAGTATGATTGGCTTTTTCACTTCTGATAATAGTATGTTTGGAAAATATACCTATCTTTTCTTTAAAAAGATGCAAGAATCATTTAGTGAAAAATATTTTGGAGGAAATTACTTCATCTTCGGCTCTCAGATTCGTGATTGTACCTCTCTAAGATTCTAATTTTAATCATTTTGTAGTTTGGAAAAGGAAAGATGTTTCTCCTTTTAGCACAAAATTACTTTAAACTGACTTTCACCAGAGGAAAAACATGCCACTTAAAGTCACCCAACTGAAGAAAATGAAGTCCAAACGCCCAATAAATGTTTACTTTGTTTTTAACACCTACTATACTTTGAGTCCTGTCATGGTAATGTTTTATGCATTGTTGATCTTAAGAAGTCAAAAAAAAAAAAAAAAAAAGAAAAAAGAAAAAGAAAAAGAAAAAAAAGCTCAATCCATTGAACTTTATGTTGACACAATTTCTCTTAACAATGAGAGTATATGGTAATGTAAAGTAGGTAAAAAAGAACGTCACGCTTAATTCAGAGTTCCTTATCTGCTACTAAAACCCCAAACTGCATGTATTAATCTTGCAACATTTGAATAATGTTCCCATTTTGTCTATTTTGTGGTACCCCGTTGAAGCACCCATTGAGTTTCTGGCTTCTCTTTAGCTCAGAAAACCATAGCAACCTCAGTCCGCACTTCTCCAACTCAGGATAGAGTTCAAGTTGTTCTCCTCAAGCCTTCTTGCCATGAAAAGCATGGGGAATCCTGATCACCAACTAGGTGTCCTGAGACTTCTTGCCACAGATAAAGGGCGGGGGAGGGGGCGCACACGCACACACACATCCTGCGTCGTTTAACTGAGAGACAGAAGGGAAAGTAACAACAGTAAAGGTAAAAGGACTTTGAGAGTTCTTTAGATTGTTTCTGTTAGCATCTCTGAGTGTCTGGGGAACGTCGGTTTGGCGGCCACGCACTGCCCCCCACCTGCCCCCCACTCCCCCAAGGTAAGTCCTCGTCTTTATCACATTATTCCTAACGCGTTTGGATTTTTCCTCCTTTTCCAGCCCGCACGTTCACAGACGGGAGGTGGGGGAGGGAGGAGGGGGGAGAGGCGGGGCGGGAAGGTAGCCGGGTCCCTGCACCGCGCCGCTCTCATTTGCGGCGCTCCGACTCGGGCGAAGTTCTCGCGCAGCCGGCTCGCCGCGGCCGGGGCCGGTCCCGGCGGGCGGCGGCGGCGGGTGCTCGGAGCCGGGCGGGGCGGCGGCGGCGGCGCGGGGACGCGCGCTGTCTCTTTAAGGGAGCTCGGTCTGGGGTGGCGCTTTCCTCCGCGAAGGCTCCTTTGATATTAATAGTGTTGGTGTCTTGAAACTGACGTAATGCGCGGAGACTGAGGTCCTGACAAGCGATAACATTTCTGATAAAGACCCGATCTCACTGCAATCTCTAGCGTCCTCTTTTTTGGTGCTGCTGGTTTCTTCAGACCTCGCGTCCTCTCGATTGCTCTCTCGCCTTCCTATTTCTTTCTTTCTTTCTTTTTTTTTTTTTAAACAAAAAACAACACCCCCTCCCCTCTCCCACCCGGCACCGGGCACATCCTTGCTCTATTTCCTTTCTCTTTCTCTCTCTCTTTCTCTCTCTCTCTCCCCCTGTCTCTCTCTCTCTCTCTCTCTCGCTCTCTCTCTTTTTAAATAAGGGTGGGGGAGTGAAGGGGGGGAGGCAGGAAAGACCTTTTTCTCTCCCCCCCGCAATAATCCAAGATCAACTCTGCAAACAACAGAAGACGGTTCATGGCTTTGGCCGCCGCGCCACCATCTTTCGGGCTGCCGAGGGTGTTCTTGACGATTAATCAACAGGTAAGGAGGGGAGGCCCGGGCGGGCCGCGGGGCCGGGGGCCGCGGGGGGCGCGGGGGGCGCGGGCTCCCCTCGACCGGGCCCGGGGCGCCGCGACGCGAGTGCAGCGCCCGCTCGTGTGTGCGCAAAATGTGGGCGATCGCGAGCGGGGAGCCCTGGGAATTAAAAGTGACTTTCTTTGAAAAAAAAAAAAAAAAAAAAAAAAGGCAGAGGGAGAGTGTGCAGAAAGCCAAGCGCAGGCTTCTCGGGTTTCACATGCATTTTCTTTCTTCCTTTTTGAGCGTGTGATTTCTTTCTTTCTTCTCTTCTGCTCCCTTTTCACCCCTTCCTCTCCTCCTTTTGGTGGGTCTAAGGCATCTGAGCCTTGGAAACCAGCGACTTCAAACTGCAGTAGCCCCTGGAGTCAGCAGGGTCAAGTTCAGCCGCCGGGGAGGAGGAAAAACAAATCCCCATTTGCCAAAAAAAGAAGTTTCAGGCCGGTGCCCCCTCCCCCTCGCAGCCCCACTCCCCCTCGCTGTCTCTTTCTGGCTGATTTTAATTCTCTCCTACCGGGCGCAGCGGAGGAGCTGGAGGTGGTTGGACCCGAGGGGCCGCCGCCGCCGCCGCCACTGCAAGTTTTCTGGGGGCTCGTGACAAGCGGGGCGCAGACTAGGCACCAGCATGCAGAGTAGTAAGTTGGGCGAACTAGGGAGGGTCGGGAGGGTCTCAGAGAGGGACCTCCGTGTGGTCCCCAAAGTGGGAAAACAGCACAGGACTGCCTTTGGCTTTGAAGAGTTTGCAAATACAGGCTTCAAACTTTTTTCCCTTAAAGGCCCAGCTGGGCTCTGGAGAAGGCGGGTGTCGCATCCCTTGGTGCACCCGCCTCAGAGCGGCTCAGGACAGCTTGGCCGAGGGGTCTGTGCCCTGTCCGTACCATGTGGCAGGGCCTTGAAGCCCGGGCGCTTCCTTAGGGACTGAGGAAGGGGCAGACTTCCTCTGCGATGCGGTTGATGCGCCATGTGTCGCTTGGGTCAGGGGACACTGGCCTGTGATTAAATGCCTGACAGCGGTGGGACATCCAGGCGGAGAGACGCTTTGCTTTCTGTCTAGTTCCTGTTTGGGATCTAGAGAAACGCATCTTTGAAAGGCCAAGGCAAACATCGCTGTCCCTCCAAATAACTCCAGGATTATAGGACCCCATGAATAATTTGAGGGTGAGGCGGCGGTGGGAGCTGTTTGAAGTGCAAAGCTGTTTTTGTGGCTGGGAAAGCTTTTTTGTTAGTACCTGTCTGAGATGGTGGTGTTTCCCCCTTCCCCAGGGAAGTCAGTAACTGTTTTATGGCCCCAGGACTCTAAAGCAATTTAAGTTAGAGGGTGAGAAGGACTGGTGGGTTTCAGAGGGAATCTTGGACTTATTAAATTTTAGGACGGGCTTTACTTCCCTCTATCTTTTTAGGCCTCATATTTGATGCTTTGAAAGTTTTTTGAGTAAGCCATGGATCTTAATGGTGAATCTAAATTATGATAGAATATTCATTCTTATCCCATTTTGGAAAATCACGGCTAGAGTTTAAGCGAGGTAAGTGAGAAGCTCAGCGGAGAAGTTAAATCTGAGACAAGTTAGGCCTATTCATTGAACTTTTGTAGATTCACTGAACTTTTGTAAACACACCAGGTGAACAGGAAAGGGTCTGGGAGAGATAATAAGTACAAAAGAAAAATACAGATAGGGCCTGAGACAAAATTACAAAGAAATGATAACTCCGGGCCTGGTTGTTGGCTAAAACTTGATTGTTCAAAGCAAAAATAAAATAGGAACCTTCCAACAATTCTTCAAAGTCCTCCAGCTCTGAAGCTAAAACCTATGGATCTTGCTGGCATCATGTTACTTTCCTGCTGGTTTTAGAAAAAGTTGATCATTTAGGAAAGGCTGCCAGAGTTAAAAATGCAAGGGACAGCAAAGGAAAGTCGTGCGGGCAGCCAGTTCTTGACGTGGACAAAATGAGAATGAAAGTTTCTGAAGTCACTGTTGTGAAGTTTTACATGCCGCTCATTTGCTTAGAAGGCTCTCTCAGATATTCCACCAGTTAACGTATAAAAGCAAACAGAATCTAAAATCGTGTGGGCTTTTTTTTTTTCTCTTTCCCCAAGTATGCCAGGGTTGTGAATAAATACAGGGTTTGTATGGGAAGATGAAGCGTTTCCTGTAAGTTATGATGCTGACAGGACAGTCTGGAAATGATACCAACATTTTGAGGATTTTTTTTTTTTTTTTTTTTACCTTTAAGTGAAAGTTTATTAATGATGTGCTTAATCTTAACAAGTCAAACATATTCTTAGAGTTTCTCTCTCCTTGGATTTCATAACTTCCTTTTAAAGCTACACCTTTGGATAAAAACATCTCTAGATTCAATTTAATATATAGGGCTAGCTAGTAACATCCTAAAGTTTGACGATTATTTCTGGATGTTAATAATGTGAAAATAAAACTCCTGAGGGGGAAATGGAGTCTTAATGCCAACATTATAACTTGATTTCTCTAAATGTGAGGCCTTCTGAAGCTTCATCAGTGCTCTGTTGGCAAAGTGTTATTTACCACCGGCGAGCTGATGTTTATGGCTTCCTGCTATGTATGTTATATGTTAGGATATATATGTGTATACTGCTTTTACATACATAATAGCTAGTCTAACACTTTTCAAATAAGTGGTGGAAAGTAGCAAGTTATTAACACAATGCTTGTCACTCCTTTGAATTCTAGATGCTGTGAGGGTCTGTGCTACTATTTAGGTTTTGTCCTTTGTCTATTAAAGATAACATTGAAGGTAAGGAGAAAAGTGTCATAATAGCTGTGAAGTCTCAACTGAATTTAGAACTTAGCATTTCGATGACTAATATTTTAAATGATTTTATAACATTTTCTGCATACGTGTTTGAAAACCAGTTTAGGATCCGAATCAGTGTGCTAATCCTAAATGAGTTACACATACTACTACCATATTTTCAGTATTATTTAAGTCACCTACCACTCCTGAGTTTATTCTGATTTACATCATACAGGTCTCTTCCTATACGGAAATCTTTATTCATAAGGAAAACCTTTAAAACAGGGAAATGCATGCGTCTGTGGAAAAGCAGCTTTTACGGTTAAGTATTTCAGTGACGGTACTATTATCACTACTATTATTAGATGTATATGTGTATGTGTGTACAGATATACAACCTACAATATGTGATTAATGATCTGTACATTTTTATGAAGAAAGCAACCAAAGAGTGTATGTTTTTTATAAACTCTTGTCTTACCTTCTTTGTTGTAAATAAACATTACCGAAAGTTTTCAGAGGACTTGCAGCAAATTGTTTTTGAACTGGAACTTTATTTCAAATTTGAAATTGGAATAAATACTGATAACTGACCTTTAAACGTTTTTCATAACACAAATATTTTAAAATAATTATATTTTAACTTCAGTTCTTTTGATAGCAACGATAATGTAACAACACTGTGCTATTGTGTGTAAAACAAAATAGACTTTAAGAAAGTTAGGGGCAGGTGTCTATAATTGATTTAAAGGAATGATTATTTTTGTAATAAGTGATGAACTTAAAATAAAATGACTGGCTTACATTAAAACATATTCTTATTAAGATTTCTCTGGTGTGTAAAATGAAGCCATTCATTCAACAGGCTGACAGCTTTCCACTTGGTATTTGCCTTTCCTTAATTTAGTTTCCGCAGGACAGCTAGTGTGGTAGTCTGCATCTGTTTTTAGCAGGCAGAGAAAACTATAAACTCAGACAGTTCTGTCCCAAATATTGCAGCTCACAAGTTACAATCAATTTGATAAAAACAGGCAAGTTTTATGGGCTCGTATTTTGTTGTTCATCCTTGCTAGGTCAAGCTTTCAGGTAATAGGTTTCTTTTTCTCCCTCTTTTGCTGATGATAACTGCTAATACCATTGATAACTAATTCTGAGTCTTGTGTACTCATTTATCATCCTTATTTACCATTTGTTGAAGTTTTGGGAAATTAATGACAGCATACGTGGACTTGGTTTTACTGTGATGGCTTCTCTGTGAAAGTGACATTTATCTTTTGTTATTATACAGAAATAAGTAAATTCTTTGTTACTATCATAGTTATGATTTATGGAATTTTTGAGTCTCCCTTAGATATACTATAAAGATGCTCTTCTAGCCTTTGCCAAGTAGACATTTAATCTAATTGTTTAAGAGTACTTGTCGTGTGTGGAAAAGACTAACATACTTTGCAATTATTTACATTAAAAAATTACGTAGAGGTTTGTTTTAGTGTAATTTTAAAAATAATTTGTCTCTGGAAAGCTGTAACCAGTGGATTAAAGTAAATATGGTAAAATACCAAATCTTGTTTTATACCATTGTTCAATAGTAAACAGTGCTGCAAAGGATATAACCACTTTTCAAAATTTATCCTCCGATGTAAGTAGGGCCAAAGTCATTTGTTTGTATAAAATATTCTATTAATGATATATGACCATTATAAATAATATCTTCAATTTTATTATTATGATCACTTTTTGAGCTGTCACAGTGCTCAGTGTTTCTCCTGTTCCTGAGAACTGAATTTGGCCTTTAGTTTGGTTTTCTGATGGACATAATAATGTAGAAGTTGACTTTGGTTAGAAAGGGATCTTTGAGCTTCAGGAATCTCTGAAGTTGCAGTAGGATCTACAGGTGAAAACCATTTTATTGTTAAGCATTAGTTAGGTGAGGAAACTCGACTGGTCCCTGCAGCATATAGCAGCTATTATTGTAGCGGTTTACTTTTTGCTATCCCACTTTTTTTTTTTTTTTTTCCTTTTCCAAGAGCACAAATCCAAAAAATAGCAAAAATAAAGGTGAAATTATCTATGTACTTCAAATTTGGAGCATCATTTGAAATCATTTTCTGATTCCAAGTTATAACTGAAACACAAACATAACATTAAGACACCCCGAAGAAGACATTAAGGATACACTTGTCGTTCTTAAGTGTGTT